TTAAATAAATATAATAAAATATGAGATAAAATATAATTTATTATTAAAAAAATTAATTAATATTTATTTAATAAATAAAACTATATTAATTTTATTAATAACTAAATCGATTTATTTATAAAAATTTTCATTCGATTTTAATTTTTAAAATTCAAGAAAATTTTTTTTGATTATTTTAAAATTAATTTCGATTTCGATTTCAACCGAAACCCATTTTTGCCTACCCCTATTGAAAGTGAAGAAAATAAAAGCTCCCTTCCCGACATGCAATAGACCCAGTTGCAGGCTTGGTACGGTTTTGACTACTCTTGCACAACTCCAAAAAAAAAAAAAAAAAAAAAAAAAAATTTTTCTTTAAAAAATGGAAAATTTATGTCATGATGGGAACAGACTCTGTCCAGTTCCTAATTTCTGACAAGTTTTGAGTACATTTACTTCAAGTTGGGCCAACATGAGGCACACAAATGTAAGAATGTTTATATATATCATGTGTGCATGTTACTTGCACCCAAGTCTACTCATCTCTAGGCCTTCTAGACCACTTTCGTAAATTTACCCAACATCCTTGTACTTTTTACCTTCCTGTCTAATAAAAAAAAGAAGGAAAAAAACAAAAAAACAGTGCTCTCATGTCTTCCATTATTAGTAGATTATTATTATTTTTTATATCTCTGGAATTTGGATCCTAATCTCTCTCACCAGCCTTTGAACCCAAGACCCCAAAGCCAAAAAATCAGATTCTTAGCCAACAGGACCCAGGGGAGGCTGGTTTATTAGTAGTTTATTTGATTTACTAGTAAGAGATTAAATTTACAATTATTTTTTATTTGAAATTGAAGGATTATTTGCAAGAAATTATCTCTTTATATTAATAAAAGTTTAATTGAAATAGAATTTAATAATTTAAAAATATTAATTTAGTGTCAAACTTAAAAATTTAAATTTTTATAATACAAAATAACTATTTATTCTGATTAAAAAAATTATCTCCTCATAAAAAATAAAAAATGTTTAGATGAGGAATTCAATTGCCTATCAAGTTAATATAGAAGCATGACACCCTCATTCCATTACCTCAAATGATTAGCAAGAAAGAAGGTAAAAAGGAAGAATGATTCAATCAATTATAAAGATGTCTCGATTCACTCCTAATTGGAAATTGGTTTGGCTGGATTCACTGAATAATTCCATCACAAGTAGACCCTCTTCTTCAGGTGTGGTGGTGACAACCACTCACAATATTAAGCTCATTAAAACTTATAAAATATTATTTTTAAATATTAATTTAATTTAA